GTGGGGTGGGGGCTCCTCGGTGGTGCTTGTTTACGCGGTGGGGGTGGCGGCGGCGGCTGGGGCCGGGCTCCTGGGCGGTGGCTGTCGCCCTGCCTGCGCCGTGACCTTGGGACCGCCTGGGTGTCTGCAGGTTTGGGGTAGGGGAGTCAGTGCTGGGGCTTGTGGGGGGTGTCCGGGCGACGGAATGGGGGAGGGGGAGGCGGAGAGACCCGGGAACCTGGGCAGCAGCCCCTCCCCTCACCCCTTTGGAGTCCACCTGGGGTCCACACGCCAGTGCCCGCCCTCCCTCCCAGCCGCCTGGCCCCTCTTGGGCAGCCTAGGGTTCTTCATGGCCTCCAGGATGGGGCAGGGGCTTGTCCCTGGGCCCTGACCACAAGGAAGAGGGAAAGGGTGCCCCCCAACCTTGGTCCCTACCAGGCTGAGGGGCCAGATTCTTCCTCCTGTGGACAGAGCAGAGACACCCCCCCCTACTGTCTGCCCCCTGCCCAGAGGGGGAGGGCTGGGCTATTCTGGGCCCCTGATCTGGGCACCTCAGTCCTGTTGGAGCTTGAGGCCAGCGAGTCTCTGGTGCCAGCCAGGCAGGGAGAGGAAGATGGCGTGTCCCTGTCCCTGCCTGAGAATGGGGAGCACTGGCCTTCCTCCTGCGCGGCTCTGCGGCTGGGGGTGGGGTGGGGGTGGGGGACAGTGTCCTGCCCAGAACTGGGGTGAGAGAACAGCATGGGGAAAGGGCACTGGAGAGCTGGCAAGGTGACATCCCCGGGCTCCTGACTGGTCATGGGGCTTGTCCACCCTGTGTGTTTCCGTGTCTCCAGGTGGGGGTCAGACTCTTTCATGGGGGCTCTGTGGGCCTTGATATGTTCATGGGGGCTGTTTGGATTGCCACCTTGCTCAGCTGGGTCAGGCACGGCTGGGTCTCACCTTCCCACGGAGCGTGGGGACTTGGCCTGGCCTGGGGGCTAGGCCTGTGGCCAGATGTGGTGCTGCCTGTGCAGGGCTGCCTCTTTGCTGGGTTTCTTTCTAAGGTTCTGCCTCCTGTCCCCCCACCATCACCTCACAGAGCCACTGCTCAGCATCTCCTGCCCGAGCCAGAGCCCCCCAGGTCGCACGGCCCTTCCCACCCCCGAACACCATGGGCAAGGAGAAGACCCACATCAACATCGTGGTCATCGGCCACGTGGACTCAGGCAAGTCCACCACGACAGGCCACCTCATCTACAAATGTGGGGGCATCGATAAGAGGACCATTGAGAAGTTTGAGAAGGAGGCTGCCGAGGTGAGTCGGGGGCGGGGGTGAGGGCGGTTCCGCTCCGAGGCTAGGCTGGCCTCAGCCCCCGGGGATGTGGCTGGCGTCTCTCCTCCAGGGCAAGAGGGGTGTGAGCCCTAAAGGACCCTGTGTGGGGACGTGTGCCTCAGAGGGTCCCGATGGGAGTGGTGTGGGGGGAGCACAGGCTGCCTCTCTCTGAGGATGTGCTTGGTGGGAGGAAGATGGCTTGCTGGATCTGGCCCAGGGTAAGGGGTAGCTTGGAGATCGCATTTCTGCCCTGCACAGAAGGTTCTGGAACATTTTGCCACACTGGACTTGAGAGCCCTGGAGCCTGTTTTTCGTGCCCCCCAGGGTTGGGTTCCCGTGTCCCCAGCGCTGAGGTCTGGGGCTGGAGGTGGCACTGCCCTCGCTTGTTCCAGGGCTGGGCCAGGACTCAGGGTGCTATTAATAGCTGATTGATGGGCACTGAGCCCATCAGCTCCATTTTCTCGTGCTAGACTGGGGAGGGCTGCTTGTCCAGGGAGGTGCCCTTTGTTGAGGGAAGGGGGAGGGGGGCTTGGTAAGGATGAGGGCGGTCCCGTGAGCTGACCTCCCCTCTCTTGAAGCTGCTCTTTGGCCCCTGTGGGTGGGAAGTGGCCATGGAGTGGGGGCCTGCTTTCTGCACCCCTTGCCCCCACCCTGAGCTCTGTGAGAAGCCCCCATTTGGGGGAGCTGTGTGGGCTCCCTCCGGGATGACAGAGTAGCTGGGACCAGGACCAGGGAGGGGACAGCTTCTGGCCATGGGGCGGGGTCAGGTGCTATGAGCTACCTCCCTCCATGCCTGGGTCCCAAAGCGGTGTCACTTCTCCCTGTGGGCCTGGAGCTGGAGGGAGGTTGAGGGTGTTTTCAGGGCATATGGTTCCGGTCTTTGGGGTCCTGTCTGGGTGGCCCCTCCTGGCTGGGCAGCCTCTGGGAGGGCAGAGCCCTGTCTGCACGGCCATGGCAGGGAGCTGTGTCCACCTGGGCAGTGACCAAGGCTGCTCTCCTAACGACAGCCCTGGCCCCCAGGCATGGGTCTCTCTGGCACTGGGCACAGGTATGTGCAGAGAGCAGCCTGGCTTTGCTTCCCCTGCTCAGGTGGGCCAGGAAGGGGCGCAGGAGCCGCGGAGCTGCGGGAAGCCGGGAAGCCGGGAAGCCGGGCTGACTAGGGAAAGAGCTGGAGAGCGGGCCCTTGCTTGTGACCTCATTCGATTTCTTTCTTTCTTTAAAAAGAGATCACAGAGGGGTTTTGATTTGACAGCCTAAACCCAGTGGTGGTGTCGGCCTCTGGCTGAGGCAGGGATCTTGGGGGAGTGGGTTTAGCTTCTAATAAAGGGGAGCCACCACCAGGGGAGGGCTTTGGCCTGCGGCTTCTCTCAGAGCCGGTCACAGGCCCTTGCGCCACCTACTGGTGGATGCCCGAGTTGCGCCCATTTAGGAGGCAGGAGGCTGGGCCTGGGTTGAGTTCTGAGTGTCCCTCAGAGAGCTCCAGGTTCCCAGCGGGGAGCCACGGGGGCTGGGGCCTCGCTGCTGTGACGTGCTGTTCCCATGGCCCCGGGTCTGCTGGCCAGGCGGGTCTGGGCCTGGGTCTCGGGCTCGCCCTGAGCCGCCCCCACCCCTCCAGATGGGGAAGGGCTCCTTTAAGTATGCCTGGGTGCTGGACAAGCTGAAGGCGGAGCGGGAGCGCGGCATCACCATTGACATCTCCCTCTGGAAGTTCGAGACCACCAAGTACTACATCACCATCATTGACGCCCCGGGCCACCGAGACTTCATCAAGAACATGATCACTGGCACGTCCCAGGTGGGCAGACTGTGGGGCCCCAGGGGCCCGGGAGGGGGGGCAAGGGCTCCCATTCAGAGGGCACCTGGGTGCGGGCTCGAGTCATCGAAGGGTAGTCGGGTCTCCTCTGCTTCCTCATCAGGGCACAAGACCCACCTTTGCCCCTCTTGCCCCACCTGGTACAGAGTTGCGAAAACAGCTGATTAAGCGCCTCAGTATCTCAACCAGGCAGAGTGCCGGTACGGACAGTCAGCCAGTGTCCGGGCCACCTGTGCCACAGACAGACTCGGACAGTCCCTGACCTTGCCAGGGCATTCATACCGACAGACAGACAGATGAGCCCCTGCCACTGCCCCTCAGGTCGAGATTCCCAAGGTCCCATCCCAGGGACTGTCCAGGCCCCTGTCTGCTGCCCGGAGGGGCCTGGACACTAGGTGAGGTCTGGGGCTCACGGTGCTGTGCCTGCCGGGCAGGCGGACTGCGCTGTGTGATCGTGGCGGCAGGAGTGGGTGAGTTCGAGGCGGGCATCTCTAAGAACGGGCAGACCCGGGAGCACGCGCTGCTGGCCTACACGCTGGGCGTGAAGCAGCTCATTGTGGGGGTCAACAAGATGGACTCCACGGAGCCTGCCTACAGCGAGAAGCGCTACGACGAGATCGTCAAGGAGGTCAGCGCCTACATCAAGAAGATTGGCTACAACCCGGCCACCGTGCCCTTCGTGCCCATCTCCGGCTGGCACGGCGACAACATGCTGGAGCCCTCCCCCAATGTGAGTGCCTGGCGGGAGGTGGTAGGGCTGCTCAGACCTCTTCCCCAGGGCCCAGAGCACTGGATCAAAGGTCAGGCAGGGTCAGGGTGGGGCGCTGGGTCGGAGGGCAGTCCCCCGACTCCCTGCACCCTACTGGTCTTCTTTAATCTGGATCAGTGCCTGAGCCAGCCCCTGTGGGTGTCCTCGGGGACCACACGAGGCTGGCAGAGGCTTCTGCAGCCCCTTCTCTGGCTAGGACAGTCCCCTCAGGTCAACACTATAGAGACGGCAGCTGCTGGGCCCATGGGCCATCTCCAGGAGCTGCTGTGCTGGGTTAGTTTTCATAGCCTCCGGGCACCCCTTGGAACCTGGAGCTAGCTGGGCTCTGGGAAGGGCTGAGGGCTGGCTCTCTGCTGGCCACTTGGGCAGCCACTGTCCCCGGAACTCTGACTGGGCAGGAGGTGATGAGTGGAGCTGGGTGTTTTGAATTTGTTGAACCCGAGACCTAGTGTCTTGGCACTGTCAAGCCAAGGACACCCTGGCCCAGAAGGGTGGCCACTCACTCTGGCCAGCACTGCAGCCACCCACACGGAGAGTGGTGGGCATGGAGGACACCCGCAGGAGAGCCAGCCCCGGAGCCCTGTGGCCTGGGTGCAGCCGGAGGGCCGCCCATCTTGCTGGGCAGCGTGTTTGCACGTTGCAATTGCACGTTTCCTTGTGGGACCTCATGTAGTGCTGGGGGGCTGACTGCACCCTCTGCCCTCCTGGGGAGGCCCACAGGGCCCTCACCTCCACTTTCCCCTGCCTGGCCTGCTGGCAAGTGGGGACCTCTCACTGCTGTTGAGCTGGGGTGTCTGGAGGACAGGGTCCCTGGGGATGGACTTGGGCATGGTGCTGCAGGCCTTGTCTTCCTCTGGGGGGTGGGCAGGGGGCTCGGTGATAGGACGGGGCTGGGTCTGCTGTCAGGAGAAGCCTGGGTAATGCTCTGTTGGCCGTGCCTAGAGATGGTGGGCACCGTGGTCTCTGGGGCGGAGGCTGGACTCTGTGCCTCTGGTTCGGCCAGTAACCCTGTGTGTGGTCGGGCTGAGGTGGAGGCTCTGCGTCCTTTTATCTCTCTGCCCAGCGTCTCTGTGGTGTTCGGAGTGAGCTGGGAGGGGTCAGTTGTTTAGCATCTCAATGGGCCTTAGACAGTGGAGGGCGGAGCTTAGCTCCCCTGCCCCCCAGCCCCCTCAGGTTGGTGCCCGCACTAGGATTCCCCCATTGGGACTGGGGGCGGGGGTGCCGGCTGTCTCTACGATGCGATGCGTGCCTGCTTCCTGCCCAGATGCCGTGGTTCAAGGGCTGGAAAGTGGAGCGTAAGGAAGGGAACGCCAGTGGCGTGTCCCTGCTGGAGGCCCTGGACACCATCCTGCCCCCCACACGCCCCACGGACAAGCCCCTGCGCCTGCCCCTGCAGGACGTGTACAAGATTGGTGGTGAGTGAGGGTACAGGGCTCTCTTATAGGCGCCCAGCCCACTTTGGCCAGCTCTGCCCCTCAGACCTCTCTCCTGAGACGAGCTCCCGATGTCAGGGTCTTTCTGCCCCTCCCCCCACACTGCACACTTTCTGGGTTACCCATCCATCTATCCATCCCCCATATATTCATTCAACCATTCATCCATCCTCTATCTATCTGTTCATCTACCCACCCCAAAACCCTATCCATCTATTCACCCATCCCTCTATCCCTCTATCCAGCTGCCCACCCCCACCCATCCATCGGTCTGCCCAGTGTTTGCCAGGTCTTCCTCCCTCCAGATAAGTGCTTGGTCCAATGCCAAGAGCCGGTGGCACAGGGGTGCCAGCCCTGTGGCCTGAGTGCAGCTGGAGGGCCGTTGGTCTCGCTGGGCTGCATGTTTGCACGTTGCGATTGCACATTTCCTCATGGGACCTCATGTAGTGGCGGGGGTGGGGTGGGGTGGACTGACTACGCCCTCTGCCCTCCTGGGGAGGCCCACAGGACCCCCACCTCCACCTTCCCCTGCCTGGCCTGCTGGTGAGTGGGGACTCCTCACTGCTGTTGACCTGGGCTGTCATATCCTCCTTGCCCAGGAGTGAGAAATGCTGTTCAGGAGTTGACACAGAGACATAACCAAGTGTGAGACCCGTGAGGGTCTGTGGCTGGAGGTGCTGGGCCTGTGTGCAGGGGCAGGGACATGCTCACCCAGCATAGGCGCAGCCACCAGCCCGTGTCTGTCACACTGTGATGTCACACGAGCCTCCGTCACAGCCAGGGAGATGGGGTGGAACCTCCCCTGGGCCGTGGGGAGCCACACAGGTGTGAGCAGGCCCATGAGGAGGGTGGCACCAATGTCCCTGGAGGGACAGCCCCGGGCCAGGGCTTTGAAGCTGGGCCGGTCATTCCGGTGGGTGGTGCTCCCCCCTCACGAGGAGGAGCCTCAGAGGCGAGGGGCCCAGTGCCTCACCTGGGGGCAGGGAAGGGACCCTCAGCCCAGATGGCCTCTCCTTGCCCCGTCCCCCTCCTGAGAGCTTCTGGGAACTCTTGTTCAGTCCCTTTCCTGTGGGGCCAGGGGAGCCTCCACCTCTGTGTGTCTGCTTCGTCTGGGGTCTCCCTGCCCCCGCACTCCCTCCATGTGGCCAGGCCCCATGCTTGCCAGGGAGGACCAGGGGCACCCCTTTGGCCCGCCTGCCCCTCACAGCCCCCTTCCTCTGGGCCCAGGCATTGGCACTGTGCCTGTGGGCCGAGTGGAGACGGGCATCCTCCGACCTGGCATGGTGGTGACCTTTGCACCTGTGAACATCACCACGGAGGTGAAGTCGGTGGAGATGCACCATGAGGCTCTGAGCGAGGCCCTGCCTGGCGACAACGTTGGCTTCAACGTGAAGAACGTGTCTGTCAAGGACATCCGCCGGGGCAACGTGTGTGGGGACAGCAAGTCCGACCCTCCCCAGGAGGCCGCCCAGTTCACCTCCCAGGTGGGTGGCCCATTCCCGCAGGTGGTCAGGGGCCATCCTCGGTGAAGTAAGTGGCTGCCCACAGCGGCCGAGCACTGGGCACCCCCTGGCCTGGCATTGGGAGAACTCAGACCCTTGCTTTGCACACACGACCTCCAGGCCTGGAGAGGTTGGCACAGGGTTGAGGGCTCCTAGGAAGGGTGCACTTGTGGGGAGCCCAGGCCTGTCACTTGGGGCTTCACTGAGGTCCCACTTGGGTCCTGAAAGTGCTTTTATCACTTTATTGCCAGAGATGTCTCTGTGGTGCTTTTATTCTCTACACGTTCACTGCACCTCTTTGGTCACTTCCTCACATGACAAAAGTCGGCCTTATTGACATGTAATTGAAATATAAAAACTGAGGCCCATTTCATCATCCCCGCCTTTAGTTCTGGCCAGGGTTGATATACAAGCGCCCACTAGCGCTTTCAAACAGTGCACCTGTCTGTTGTTATCTCTCGCGGTTTGGTTTATCTCCGTTTATTTCAATGCTTAGTGCCGACCTTCGGGATTCCAGGTCTGTCCATCACTGGACCTTGTTCCAGAGTCAGCACCC